GGAGAGGGAGAGGGGGGGGAGGGGGAGAGGGAGAGGGAGAAGTCGGAGAGGGAGGGGGGGGGGAGGGGTGCTGAGGGACCTCCATCCGGTCCGAGGGGCGCGGCTGCCGGTCGCGCGCGTGGCGAAAGGGACCGAGCGGGACCGTCGTCGCCGTCAGGCTGCCCGTCTCCGAGAGCTCTGAGGTGCCTGCCAGCGCCTCCCGCATCTCGAAACGAGCCTGCGGGGGGGGGGGGGGAGGGGGGTCCAGGAACGCTCCTCTCTCGGTGCGTGCCCGCCCTCCCTCGCCTGCGGCAATCTCTCGCCGCGCCCTCTCGCGTCTTTCTCGCAGACAGTGTGTCCAAAGGGGGTGCCCGAGAGACGCGTCTCCAAGAGGCGCTCTCGCCTTTGCCGAGAGCGGGGAGGACCTCCCAGGCAGCGCCACGGATAGCCCGCCGCCTTCGGCACTGCCGCCACCGCCTCCACCGTCACCGCTGGCGCCGCCGCTGCCGGCGTTGCTACTGGCGCCGCCGGCACCGGCAACGGCAGCACCGCCGCCGCCCGCCCCACCGAGGCCGCTGCCGCCGCCGCGGCTGTTGTCCGCCGCCGGCTCGGGGACTTGACCAAAGACATACTCCCTCTCGTCCCCTACAGACAACAACATGTACATGTCCGTGCACATGTCCCGGGCGTGTCCTGGACGCGTCCTGGACACGTCCGGACATCCACTGGACGCGTCCTGGACACGTCCGGACACGTCCGGCTCCGCTGGTCGCCTCGGTCGGCGGACGAGCCCGGCGCCCACTCCGGAAGGTCGACCTGATAGTCGGCGCCGAGCCGCACCCGCGGCCCTGAGCGGGGGAGGCATGGGCGCATGGGGTCATCAGGGATGGGCAATGCAGAGGGCAATGCAGAGGCGGGACCAGAGCGCGCGTGTGAATGCAGAGGCCCCGGGCTCCAGGGAGAGGAGGGCGGGCAGCGCTGCGTCTCGACGCCGAGAGTGGCGCACGCTCACCGCTCGAGACGCCCGCACTGAGCCACTGCGAGTCGCCAGTCTCCGCCGGCGGCGGCGACGCGGTCTCGACGCTGTCGGACGCCGCCGGAGCAAGCACCTCCCGCATCACTTCGCGGTTGATCACCTCGCGAGGGAGGTCGCGGTGGGCCGCCTCCCTCCCCTCCGCTGCCGCCGGCGCCCGCTGCGCCGGGTGGGCGAGCGCGGGGGCGGAGAGCGCAGACGGGTGGTCGACCGCGCTCTTGTAGGGGCAGAGGCGGGCGAGGCAGGGCTTCTTCCGGATCCCCGGCCCGCCAAACTTGGCCTTGTCCTGGCACTCGCGGCATCGGCCGCAGTCGGGCGAGCGGCAGGCCGGGCAGTTCCCGCACCGCCGCAGGACATCGGACCTCTCCCCGGGCCGCCTCTCGACCACGACATAGCGTTCGGACCGCTCCGCAGGCCGCCCGGCCGACAGCGGCGGTCCCGCAGGCTGCGCTTGCCAGGGCCGCGCTTGCCCGGCTGCGTTGAGCGCGGAACTGGACATGTCGCCTGCCGCGGGCGAGCCCACCGAGGCACACAGAGCGGCCATCGGTGCGAAGGCCCGGCCGACAACGTCGCCCACGAGCGCTGCCCTCAGCTGGCCGCTCTGGAGTCGCTGCTCCACCGCCGCGAGAGACGCGCGGGCCGCATGCACCGCGTGCATCGCAGCGCGATGCTCGAGGGAGCCGGCATCCTCCGCCTCTCGTCGGGGCAAGCAGGGCTGCATGGCGTGTTGCGAAACAGCCGGGGCTGTGACGACAGCGCGAAGGCAGCGAGTGAGCTGGGAATGAAGAAAAACTCCGGACGCGAGGACTGCCAACGGGCCAACGGGCCCTCCCTTGGGTTATCCGTTTTCTTTCTTTTTCTTTCTTTTGCCAACGGGCCAGGCCGAAGTGTGTGCCTGTGTGTGCCGTTGTGCCCGTGTGTGCCCGTGCGTGTGCGTGTGTGCCTGTGTGTGTGTAACTTGCGGGATGAGGGGATGTTGCAACAGAGAACAGAGTTGGGATGGTCGGCGAGCGCCGCCTCGGCGAACGCTGACACCTCGTCGGCGTCGGCGCACTGGATGCGGGCAAGGGCGAGCTTGTTGAGCTTGTGCTTGAAGTCGCTCACGAACGTCGACAGCCCGCCCAGCGCGCTGCGCCGCCGCCGCCTCCTCTCCGAGGTGCTCCTCGAGCAGTGCCGTGAGCTGGTGCCACAGCTTGCGCGTGTACAGCTCCTCCCGCATGCGCGCATAGTTGGGCGCGAGCGAGGGCGCCGCCGCTCGCCGCACGACTACAGGAAGGCCCCGACGATCGACTGCGAGACTTGTTGGCGTCCATGACCTCTCCATGTCCGTGACGCCGTGAGCGATGTGTTGCTGGGGGCGAGACACAGACAAGCGCCGCTTGGGCCTCAGTGCTCAGAAAAAGAAATACACACATGGCCGAGGATAGCACGACCAATAACACACGCGCTGCAAGCGCCGCGCCGCACTCGAAAGACTCCCCTGGAGAGCGCGGCAGAATCAAACCGCCCACCGGAGGCGTCATTATAGCCGATCGCATGACCGAGATCACAGCCAGCGCCAAGCGCCGCGCCGCGCGCGAACGGCCTCCTACTCCGTCTCGCGCGCGATGGCGAAGCCCAAGACGCAGTGGCCAAAGTCGAGCGCCGCTATGCCGTTCGTGGCTCCGGCCGAGTCGAGGTGGTACCGCTCGTGGATCTCGTAGATCGAGCGGACGAGGAGCGCCGCCCGCGCGCGGGCCGGCGCGGGGAAGAGCGAGTGGCTTGCCGGCGACCACGGCGCCGCCGCCCGCCGGATCAGCGCCGCCGCCTCGCCCTCGCCGCCCGCGGCGCGCCGCAACGGCGTCGGCTCGCCCTCGTGCAGGCTTGCGCCGCTGCGCAGCAGGGAGAGCGCGCGGGCGGCGGTGAGGGTCTCAAGGTGCGCGAGCGGCGTCCAGCCGCGGCTGGCGACCAGCCAAGCGGCGAGGTCGGCGTGGCCGCGGCTGTTTGCGGCCTCCTCGGGCGTGCCGAAGGGCGTAGCGGCGCGGGAGGCGCCATAGGAGGAGAGGAGCTTGGCGACCTCGAGCTGCCCGAAGTGGCACGCAACGAACAGCGGCGTGGCGCCTTGCTCATCGGCCTGGTCGATCGCCGCGCCAGCCTCGAGGAGCAGCCGAACGCACTCGAGCTGGCCGTTCCGGCACGCAACGAACAGCGGCGTGGCGCCGTTCTGCTTGGCTTGGCTGACCGCCGCGCCAGCGTCGCGCAGCAGCCGGGCGCACTCGAGCTGGCCGTTCTGGCACGCGATGTGCAGCGGCGTGGCGCCGTTCTGATTGGCCTGGTTGATGTCAGCGCCAGCGTCGCGCAACAGCTGGGCGCACTCGAGATGGCCGTTCTGGCACGCGATGTACAGCGGCGTGGTACCATCGTTCAGCTTGGCTTGGTTCACGGCCGCGCCAGCGTCGCGCAGCAGCTGGGCGCACTCGGGGTGGCCCTCCTGGCACGCCATGTACAGCGGCGTGGTACCATCGTTCATCGCTTGGTTGATGTCAGCGCCAGCGCCGCGCAGCAGCTGGGCACACTCGAGGTGGCCGTGCTGGCACGCGACGAGCAGCGGCGTGGCGCCGTTCTCCTTGGCTTGGTCGACCGCCGCGCCAGCCTCGAGGAGCAGCTGGGCGATCTCGACGTGGCCCTTTAGGCACGCCATGTACAGCGGCGTGGCGCCGTTCTGATTGGCTTGGTTGACGGCCGCGCCAGCGTCGCGCAGCAGCCGGGCGCACTCGAGATGGCCGTTCTGGCACGCGATGTACAGCGGCGTGGTACCATCGTTCATTGCTTGGTTGATGTCAGCGCCAGCGTCGCGCAGCAGCCGGATGCACTCGAGATGGCCGTGCTGGCACGCGACGAGCAGCGGCGTGGCGCCGTTGTTGCAGGCTTGGTTGACCGCCGCGCTCGCCTCGAGAAGCAGCCGGACGCACTCAATCTGCCCCTTCAGGCACGCCATGTACAGCGGCGTGGCGCCGTTAATGCGGGCTTGGTTGACCGCCGCGCCAGCGTCGCGCAGCAGCCGGGCGCACTCGAGATGGCCGTTCTGGCACGCCATGTGCAGCGGCGTGGTACCATCGTTCATCGCTTGGTTGATGTCAGCGCCAGCGTCGCGCAGCAGCCGGGTGCACTCGAGATGGCCGTGCTGGCACGCGACGAGCAGCGGCGTGGCGCCGCCGTCCTTGGCTTGGTTGACCGCCGCGCTCGCCTCGAGAAGCAGCCGGACGCACTGGTCATGGCCCTGCCGGCTCGCGACGTACAGCGGCGTGCGGCCTTCAGAATCCGCTTGGTCGGTCGCCGCGCCAGCCTCGACGAGCAGCCGGGCGCACTCAATCTGCCCCTCCTGGCACGCGATGTGCAGCGCGGAAGCGCCGCGGCCAGTCGTCGCCCCGACGCTCGCGCCGCCCTCGAGCAGCAGCCGCACCGCCTCGGCCTGCCCGTGACGAGCGGCCCAGGTGAGCAGCGTGTCCTGCTTCTCGGTGTCGTGCCGCGCGTCGAGCTGGGCCGCGAGCGACGTGCCGTGCGTTCCCTGCCCGGAGAGGAAGGCGCGCAGCCAGGCCAGGTCGCCCCGAGCCAGGTCGGCGAGGCGGGTTGGGTTGCCGCTCATGACTGGGGCAAAAAGAATGCAGAATGCCGAATCGGGCCCAAAGCCAGATGCCTTGCACCCGATGCCCTGGATGCAGGATGCGGATGCAGCATGCAAAATCCGGTCAAAGCTGTGAGCTGCACCCAACGGACAAACTATTTGGGTGTATGGTTCTTGCACTTGTGCAAGATTGGGCGTCTTGAGAGAGAATTCTTGATACGAAACCACGACGACACACACCAGTCGACTCGCATCGGTTGCCTCCATGAACGGCGGAGCTATTCTCGCGCCCACACCACACCTGGCTCCAACGTGGACACGCCCATAGCTGGGGACACTACTAGGTCACGCATGGCATCACAGAAGTTTTATCTCTGGGCCCCGAAAGGCATCTCTAGCAGTGCCGTTACACATGCCCCCTCCCCTCCTGGGCGCATGCGCCTCACGTCTCGCCAGAGCATACGCCCTTGGTGTGTGGCGAGACGAGTTTTTCGCCATGCAGCGAGCAGCAAGCCGCCCGCCGCAAACAGCCGGAGGCCTCGCCGCGGCACTGGCTGCGCCGCGGTCCCGCACCCGTCGACGCAGCTCCCCCCGCGGAAGGCCGCGCGTAGCAACGTCTCGATGATCGAGATGAGCGTGCCTGAAGCTCGCCCACCTACTGCCCCTGAGAGTTGGTTATTGAGTGGGATCAGCTCCCCCCCTTGGGATCGAAGCCGCCACAACCTCACACCCAACATCCCAGGCGGGATCAGAAGGGGACTCCACACCGGACACCGCCCGGGCACAGCCCCCCTACCCGTCGGATCGCACAGAGGGCCCCCTCGGAGCAGCCCACACACAATCACGCATCGGCAGATTGAGTGCCTGAGTCAGGCAGACAGCACAGACAAGGAGAGGAGAGAGAGAGGAGAGAGAGAGAGAGAGGAGAGGGTGAGGGTGTGAACACACTTGAGGAGTGAGTGGGGAGGGTGTCTGTGGTGGGCTGTAGTCCTACTACGTGGTTAGAACCACGCGCCCCTCAGGAGCTTAAGGTAGAGTGGAGCGTCCCAGACGCCTCGGTGCCTCCCACCGGCGTGAAGACCATCCGGATCAGCCCAGTACGCCCTCCGGGCGAACGGTCCCCGCGATGGCCCACGGTCCTCCGTCGCCTGGTTGAACCCCCTGCCTCCCGGTTGACCCCCCGGTCCCCGTACACGACCATGAAATAAACTCAAAGTCCACCACAGCCACCAGCCTCCACCTCCACCCGCGAGCCGCCACCGCTGCCGCCCGCGACGCCGCCCGCCGCGTCAGATAGCCGCGACGCGCGCACCGAGTCGAGTCGGAGAGCCGCACCGCACCAGCAGCAGCATCTGCACCACCAGCAGCAGCAGCAGCACCACCACCACCACCCGAGAGAGAAGCGCACCTGCCCGACGCCGCCCGCCGCGTCAGACGCTCGCGACGCGCGCGTCGAGCCCAGTCGCACAGCCGCGCCGCGCCAGCAGCAGCATCGGCACCAGCAGCAGCAGCACAACCACCACCAGCATCAACAGAGACAGGCAGTGCAGGCGCAGAGGCGCTCGCAGAGCGGCGCTCAGCGCCGCGCACGCCACGCCGCGGACCGTCGGACGAGCGCACCGTACGTCGGCGGCGAGCCGCGTCGCCAGCCGTCTCGCGAGAGAGCGGCGCCGCCGCGTGCGCGCAGCAGCCGCCGCGGCAGAGGCGAGCCGCGGCGACGTCCGCACTAACGGATAACGGCCATTGGCGGTCTCTCTCTCTCTCTCTCTCTCTCTCTCTATTGGGCGTCTTCTGCCGCAGTCCCTTTGATGGGAGGCCCCAGGGTGGGGGCCACCTCGAACCCCCAGCCAGGGATTCGAGCGGAGGGTGCCCCGGATTCATCTATCCGTTGGGCCCCGGTACATTCATTAGAACTGATCACTTACGTTGCGCAGCAGCCGTCCCTTCGCCGACTGGACGGCAGTGCGCTGCGTCGTCGCTCTGTCGTGCACGCTCTCGTGCCTCGTTGTTGTGACACGGGAGTAGAGTCGAGAGGTAGCCCTCGACGAGACGACCGGCGCTGCGATGCCAGACCTCACTGCCGCCGAGCTCAGCATTCCGGCCGAGCAGCACCCCGATGCCCGATCCCGCAAAGCCATGGTTCTTGCACTTGTGCAAGATTGGGCGTCTTCTGCCGCAGTCCCTTTGATGGGAGGCCCCAGGGTGGGGGCCACCTCGAACCCCCAGCCAGGGATTCGAGCGTAGCTCCGCGCTCCAGGTTTCCCCTAGCAGCAGAACGCCCCCTCTACTCGGAGCTAGTAAACACTCAACACGGACTCGACACGGCCTCGACGCCCGCCCACACCCGGCGCCTCACCACTCCTGGGGAGCTTCTGCCCCGTCGCTCCATCTACATCAAGGAGGAGGCCGTCCACCTTCCCGCCCCCTCCCCTCCCGCCCAGGGCCCGTATCTGCGCAAGGTCATCCAGGCGGCCGCCGGCTGCCTCCTTCCCTCGTCGCGCCGGTGCCAGCACGTCGGCCCCTACTACCGACGTCGAGCCCATCGCGCACATGCGTCGCAGGGGGTCAAGGACCCCGGCCTGCGCCCACTGCATCCAGCACCTCCGGCCTGCTTCCGCTGAGGGGGGGTCCGGCAAGGGGGCTCCCGTTGACTGCAGGGCCTCCCTAATCTGCCGGCGGACGCCCGCCCAGGCGTCCCACTCCCCTTCCGGGACCCTACACATCTCGTGCCATCGCCTCTGCTATCACGAATTTGTTTTGGCTCATCAGAACCACACCGAGGCTCATCAGGGTCAGCGCCCGGCCGCGCGTTTCCCACCCGCTCCCGCCCCGCGTCCCACGCTCCCGGCGCACACTCCCACCGCCACCCGCCACCACCTGCGCCGCAGGCCGGACTCCAGCATGAGGCTCCTCCTCCTCGCGCTCGCGGCGGCGGTCGCGCCCGCGGCTGGCCTCAACTTGCAGATGCCCGCCCTCCGTGGGCAGACGGGCCTCACGGACGCGAGGTTTGGCGGCAAGAAGCTGGTCGTGGTGACGGGCACCTCGTCGGGCCTCGGCCGCAAGACGGCGGCGGCGCTGCTGCGCACGGGAAAGTACCACGTCGTCGGCGCCGTGCGCGACCTGGACAAGATGGAGGTGGTGGCCGAGGTGGACGGCTTCGACCCGGACCTGTTCACGCCGATGCACTGCGAGCTCAACTCGTTCGCCTCCGTGCGCGCCTTTGTCGACGAGCTCAAGGAGTGGAAGGCGGCCAAGCCCGTCGACCGACTCATCTGCAACGCCGCCGTCTACCAGCCGTCGCTGCCGTACGCAAAGTGGTCCGAGGACGGGCACGAGCAGCAGATGCAGATCAACTACCTCTCGCACTTCCTCCTCACGTCCCTCCTCCTCGACGACCTCGCCAAGGCGCCGCTGCCCGCCCACCTCACGACGCAGCCTACCTGCCCTACCCCTGCTGCACTCCTCCCCTCAACCCCTCTCCTCCCGTCCTCCCCTCCTCCCCTCCTCCCCTCCCCCCCTCCTCCCCTCCTCCCCTCCCCGCCCCTCCTCCCCGCCCCCACGCCCCCTCCCACGGCCGCCAGCCACCCGCCTCGCCCCCGCCTCCCTTCACCCGCCTCGCCCCCGCCTCCCTTCACCCCGCCTCGTATCAGTCATGCAGAAGAGAGAGTGTGTGTGCCAGGCGCCCGGTGCGTCTTTGTGGGCCTCTCTGGGCACTTTCCCTGAACCTTCTCGGAACCTTCCTGCAGGCGCCCGGCGCGCGGTGCGTCTTTGTGGGCTCGGTCACCGGCAACGACAACACCGTCGGCGGCGCGGGCCCCTAGAGGCCGAAATGTGCAGTCTTGTCTCCCCACCAGCGGTCGAGGGGCCACGTATTCCACTGTACTCGGCCGTCTTCCGCATTCGCTGTCTTCGCCTCCCTCGTCTTCGCGCGGTGCTCTGAAGACACCGCACAAGACCGTCTCCCCGCCCCGAGGCTGGTTCACTGTCTTCGCACCCCTCGTACTCACGCGGTGCTCTGAACACACTGCACACCACCGTCCTCCCGCCCCTCATGTCGGCGCATTCCTTCCCGCGTAGGCGGCGGCGTGTACCCGATCGCAGACCTGAAGAAGCTCGACGGCCTCAAGCTCGGCGCCAAGAACCCGATCTCGATGTTCGACGGCTACAACTTCGACGGCGCCAAGGCGTCAGCGCCCCCCCCCCCCCTCCCCCCCTCCCCTTTCCTCCCCTCCCCTCCCCCTCCTCTCTCCACCCGCCTCCCTCTCCGCCGCCCTCCCTCACCGCCGCCGCCGCCCTCCGCCGCCGCCCTCAACGCCGCAGCCCTCTGTGCCGGGCAGGCTAC